GCCCGGGTTCCGCAGCCCGCCGCACCAACCGACTCGCCTTTACTCGACCACTCTCTTTCTCCCCCGCTCGCGCCGCCGCTCTCTTTCCATCCTCTTTATCCTTCTCTCGCTGCCGCGCCTTCCTCAACGATGGTTGGAACAAGCGCGGCAGCCTTCGGGCGGTTACCAGCGGTTACCGGTGATGGTACCCGCTGGTAGACTGCTAAAGTGGTTCCGAAGGGGTGCGATAGTGGGTGGGAGGGGGCAAAAATGGCCAAAGTTTCGTCCGACGCGGAACCCACTCCCCCCCCTCCCAGCCCCCTCTGAGCCGCCGCGCGAGAATTTTCAGATAAACGAGGACATTCCGTTCGAAATTATGCCAGGCGAAGAAGTCTACGTCGACCCTTCCATAACCGGCTGCCAGCCAGCTTCTATGTCTATTCCTCTGCCGCTCGCGGAAGGGTAGTTACCATTTTTCATAAGGCCGTTAGGCGACACCCGTGTTGTGTGTCGCGGGATGCTTTTAGGGCCACCGTGAGTTACACCAGCGCTGCTCTCGATTATGCAGCGAGGATCGTACGATACGCGCCGGTGGGGCGGTTCACGATAAATATGCGAAAGTATAAGGCGCCTGGCGTCGTTAAGACGCTCTCAGGATCTGGCGATCGCGAACTATCGAGCCGTTCCTCCCTTGCCGCGCGTCTCCGCGCGAAAATGCATGGAAATGTATTCACGGCAGCAGCGTCTTAATTAGAAATTATCGTCAAAGTCGGTGTGTATCTGTCCACGTTTATGTAGACGATCATTTTTCTAACGTGCCATTAAGTAGCTACCTGCAAACATGGGCAAACATTTGATACGCTTTTTTCAGGCTGAAAATAAAATAAAAAAGGAAGAAAAAAGTCAGGGAAGGAAAATCACTTTTGAGCCAGTTAGGACGCCCCTCCGCTATTCGTAGAACGCCGATTTGTCCCGAGCGAATAAATCGCGGAGAGTGGGTCGCGCTCGCATTATCGCCGTTAACGTTCGACATTAATGTTTTTGTCGGCGGTTTGTGGTCGGGTAGTAAACAAGTGATACACCCTCTTAACCCACCCCTCGCTGCTCGCTCAGACGGGGTTGCAGCGGCTCACCCACCTCCGCTTCGCTTACCCCCCGCAGGTACCCCCTTGCTCGCGCCCCCCGCATCATCCGCTCTTCTCTGCTCCTCCTGCCTCTTTCGCCCTCCCTTCTTTCCTCCTACCGCCCCCTTAACCTCTTCGCCTGCTATCTCTTTCTCCACCACACGCGTGCACGATCTCTTTCTCCGTCCGTGCTTACTTCATGAAATGCGAATGTACATGTTACACCCGCTTCGTGGCTCCGACCTCGTGTCCCGTACCCTTGTAACGTAATCGTTTCCACTCCAAAAAGAGGCAAAGAGAGAAGCCAGGTAGACACGCGTACACACATAGACACACACGTGTGCGCTAATGGCCTCTTCAAAAATGTCATGCTCGCCCCGGTTGCCTCGCCCGGATCGTCTGACGCTGATGGTGCGAGTACCGTAGCGAATTTTCATCCGGCTTGGATGAGGGAGAGAGAGACAGACAGAGAGCGGAAAAGCTCTTTAAGAAGGCACGAGTCGAGCAATTCCCAATAGCGGAACGACGACCTGCGGTCGCGCGGACCGGCGATGCATACATCCTTAATTTAGTCGAAAATGAAATTAAACATGATGAATAAATTGAAGACTCGGAATGTTCCGAGAGGGTTGAATTCTTGGTAAGCGCGCACGAAAGAGAAAGAGAGAATAGAGTAGACAGAGAGAGAGAGAGAGAGAGAGAGAGAGAGAGGAGGGAAAGCGAGCGGAGGAAAGCTCGTTCTTCATTTAATTCCGAATGATTATCTTAGCAATACCTTCAGTCGCGAATTATTTAACGTGATATTTAATGAAAGTGTGTGATGTGAAATACTATGACGGCACGAATATTCGAAATTCCTCTAGCCGGCAATAAGAAACATCGCGCGCACCTTCAACGAGTGAGAGAATAATGCGAGGGCAGATCGGAGACTTGATCGCGAAATCCAATAACAACGAGCGAGAAGCCCAGGGTCGCCTCCAAACCGCCGGCCAAACGCCGCGGCGCAGTTTCTCGAAAAGTTTTATGGGCCGAATTTTCAAAGTTCACGGCAATGGCGGCGATGGTGGCAGCAGCGACGGTGGGTGCGGGGGTGCGGAGGTGTCGGGTCGGGTAGGTAGGTAGGTAGGTGGGTAGCTAGCTAGCTAGCTAGCTAGCTAGCTAGAAGGCCGGAGGTTGGTCTCGCGGAGTTTAAGAGGGTAGTTCGCGTGGCCGTAAATTTTCTCTCTCACAGGGTGACTCCGGGTGGCTCGGGGGGGCGGCGGGGAGCGCTCGGAAGGGCCGCGGGCGAACGCTCGCCTACGCCACACATATCTTTCCACCATCTTCTATCAATAATTCCTCGCGAAACTTACCGCGAACTTGCTGGCGCGCGATAATGCAGCGCGCGTCGGCGAAAAATCCGTATCGGAGATAAGTCTCGCGCGCGATTCGCCGTTGGTTACCGCCGATTGCTCCTTGGCGTCCTCCCCTCATCTCTCTCCGCGAGCCCAACGGCAATGAGCGTGACGATCGATCACCTTGATCAACCGCAATCGACGAACGTCCACCGACGTGGTACCGCGAGACGCGCTTCCGGGCGCTCGACGCGCTATCGACGGGTGTAAATGCGCGAGGGAGGTGGAACCGGGCGAAGAACACTGGACTTAGAGTGGAAAGGGACGCGAGGTTAATTTGCACGATCGAGCTACAAATCACCATCCGTATTTACTACCTCGTGCGGACGTCGTACGACGGACGTGGCTGGAGCCACAAAGTCGGTCGTCTCCTGCAACCCCTTTCTGGACGGTAGCAAAACACACAACCACCCGGCCGCATCTCTCCGCTCCCCGTGCATGTACTTACGTACGAACGTACGTATGTAGGTAGGTGGGTAGGTAGGTAGGTAGGTAGGTAGGTGGGTAGATAGGTAGGTAGGTAGGTAGATAGGTAGGTAGGTTGGTACGTACGTACGTACGTACGTACGTCGCCGAGGACACTCGTCTCTCGCTGCACCCACCCCCGTCCATCCTTCTGTACCCTCCTTTGCGAGGCAGCCACGACGGCGGACGTAATATGCAGATTCGTGAAATAAATGCTCGAAAGTTTCACTATAACTCTACGCGCAAAATCTCCAGCTCGTCCTGCAATCCCACCCCCGGCGCCCGTCCGCCCCCTCCTTTCGTCCTTCCTTACCACCCGCTCGTGCCCACTTCAGCAGTCTCGCTCGCCTCCACACCCACGAGAAGCGAAGCCCCGTCGTCCCCCTTCTTGCCATCCTTTCAGGACGCCAGGAGCATCCGCATTATTTAGTGCTTCCGCATAGTCCGCGGAAAATGGCTGAGAAAGTTGCCGGAAAAAGCGTGCGCAGCGTCGCCTCGACCGTAAACCCAAGATGGCTTCTGCGCCCCGCGCGAAACCCGCCTACTTCCTCGCTCGATTCTCCCGTCGATCGTTTTTGCCCGATACGTTTTGGCTCCAAGAGAACCGCCCGCCGAAATCGACCGCGTGAAGCAATAAAATCCGCGCCACTTTGCTCTCTCGACACACACCGCCGGCTTTTTGCCGGCCAAGTAATCGTAAACTTTTTCACTCGCCGTTTTCGAGTGATTAACGATCGTTTCAGAATCGAGATCGCGCGAGGATCTCCGACTGGCACGACAGCAGGTCGAGGTGCACGTTCGTTGCTGAGAGATTCGTCGCGGATCTTTACATTAGCCCTGCGGGGAGGAACAAGAACCGTTATTTATTTCGAAGCGACATGACAGAAAGCGCACTCGAGCGACCGCAATTGAGAAGCCCATTACGCCCGCTACCCCGCCGAGGTTTCGGCTTTCAAAACCGAAGCTTTCACGCGAGTCGTTTGCGGGTAGACCGCTACGTGTCAGGCGTGTCGAGGTAAACTTGGCCCATTTTTCTGACGCTCATCCAGCCGTGAGAATCGGGGCGGAAAAAAAATCACCGGATTGACACGCTCGCCGTGCCGCACGCTTTCTCTCTCCCTTTCGCTCTCTTCTGCTCTCTCTTGCTCGTTTCCTCGTTTTTTTCCAGTTCTCGCACGCCCTCGCACCCTCGCTCCTTTTTTTTCCTCCTCGTGCCGAGAGCCCACCGATAAACGCGGCCAATAAAAATAACGAGCGGCCACCAGTCACGCATCCTCTCCACCCCCATTTCTCTCTCTCTCTCTCTCTCTCTCTCTCTCTTTCTCTCTCTGTCTCTCTCTGTCTCTCTCTCTGGTGAGCTCTTTCACATAGTGGGGGTTCCGCGTTGCGGTGGGTAGGGGATGTTGCTTTAAACCACAAGCCGCCAACGAGAGGATACAGAACTCCAGCGCGTGTATCCTTTCGCAACCTCCCTCTCCCCCCTTGCTCTCTACTCCATCCCGATGACATCCCGCACCCCTGGCCGGGGAGGAGGGTGGGATCGCTTTTGCCGTCGGACGAAAAAAAATTGTCATTCGATTTCATCCCTCTCTCTACGTCAGAGTAAATCCCAAACGAAGCGAGGCTCCGGCGCGCCGTTGGCGCTCGTAACGGGATTTCATAGAACGGGACTTTTTTTTCGTTACACATCCCCCGCTTCTGATTGGATTGTCTGCGGTGCCTTGGTGAACGTGTATGTGTTATTCCCCCTGCATCCGACACGTGCCCGGACATGTCGGTATGAATTAAAATAAAAATGTGAAATAAAAGAGAATCAATCCGTTTTGATTTTGACCGATAAAAATACGCTGCTCGCAGCGACGCGTTGCGCCGACAACAACGGCGAGCTCGGGTTAAGGAGAAAAGCACGACCGGCTCGCGAGCCGATAAAAAATGGGAACAACTTCCGGAGTGCAAAAATTCTAGAGGTGTCACGTCGATTCTCTCGTTCATTGGCAGATCTACCGGGTCTCGACGATGGTTTTTCTTTTTTTTCTAGTCGGAGCAATGGACGCGCGCGAAAAACGATCTCGAGCTGTCTTGAAAAATCATCCCTCCGCGCACGGCACGAATCACCATCGTCGCCACTAACGCTGGCCGTTCGTTACGCGCCGCAACAAGTCCCGCGGGTGTGCGCGCCAACTTTTATCTCGGGCTCCGGCTGCGACTTCCTCGCGGAAGTTTCCGCGGAGCGGATTTCGAAAAGGCTACTACGCAAAGTCCGCAATACCCGCGGAGACGAACTTTTCGGTTGGAGCCGTGCATACGGCCACGCTGAACGTGTACACAGGAGACACATGCGGAGAACGAGGAGGAGAAAGAAGAGAAGTAGGAGGAGAAGGAGGAGGACGCACGTACATTCGCACACGAGGAGGCGAAGGGTGCACGTATTCGAGCACACGCGCGCCAGATGCAACGGCGCCGTCTTTATATCTCCGCAGGGCTGATGCGCCGAAATTATGTGTGGACCTCTGCCATGTTAATTAGTCGAGAACAGCTTCGCGAGGCCGAAGTCACTTCCGAAAGTCGTGTCTTCTTTTATTTCGGGACACGAGAGGATTAAAATTAGGATTTAGAACCGCGATCTTCAATGTTCCTTCTCGAGGTTACCGATCTTCCTTTCCCCTTCCTTCTCCCTGCAGCAATGTTTAAGTAGAAGAGAGTGACTCGCTTAAATCATACCTCATTAGTCGTGCTTGATTTTTTAAATGTTTGTAGCACATGCAAAACAAGATGTAATCTGCAATCTTTTTATATTTCTCATTTTTATCCCGTTAGATGTCGATCATATTTAATAACAGAAAATGACGAAATACGATTTAAGAGAATGGTACGGTTTTGGCAACTCTTCTCTAATAACAATGATTAAACGATCCAAGTAGGACTTATGTCGGGCGTACAGTTGAACGCCACGGAATGGTCTAATTGTAATCTCAATTCGTCACGATTGACTTCGCGTCCCCAAACAGAAAGATCCGAAATAACTCGAGCAACTCATCCTTGCCCATGCTGGAAGACGCCACTGGCTATGCCCGAGGCAGCCCGTGCGGGGGTAGGAAGCGCTCACGTTTGTTTCTAGTCTCGTCTCGTCTACCCTCGCACTCCTACGCGCACCCGGCTACGGCAGCCGGCTAATCCCGCCGAGATTAAGATAACCCCGAAAAATGTTCAGCTAAGTCGCCAACTTCGCCCGCGAGGCGCGCTTAAAACGTGAGAATCCCGGCCCCAGGGCCGGGGTGATGGCGGCGGCGGTGTCGTCGTCGTCGTCGTCGTCGTCTCCGGTGAACCGGAGTATCCTACGTACTACCCGGGAATATCCCTCCTTAACCGGCTTGGATACGCGCCCGTAGATTAGCCGCTTTTCATCGCGACGGGTGGAATTTACATTCGCCGCTCCGTCCGGCTTCGTCCGGGATGTAGTAGCATCGACGCGTGTTTACGTTCGCGCGCCTGATCGATATTCTCCGCCTGCGGCCTGCGACGTCGTTACTTCTTTGGGAAACGCGCGCATCGACTCGTGAAACGGCGTCGCTCGACGCGACATTACGCCGAAGGCATTCGCCGTTGTTAATTATGGATACTATTAATTATGTATTGCGCGGACGTTGCGCGCGATCGTCCGGATGTGCACGACTTCGTCGTTTCTCTCTTTTTCTTCCCCCCTCCCTCTCTCTCTCTCTCTCTCTCTCTCTCTCTCTCTCGCAAAAATGACCCTCGCGAAGCGCACACGCGCTTCCAGTCGTACGAGTAGATTCACCTATTCGCCACTGAGCGTGAGATTATTTATAATTCACGTTGTTAGAGATTTCAGCTTATCATCTGGGTGCACCAGGTAGATTGATGATTTATATCGTATCTCATCGACGAGGACGAGGACGAGGTGCTTTTTAAATTTCTTAGAGTGAATCTCCACTCAAGACGAGTGAAAATTCACTCCGAGTCACAAGGATCTTGCGCTCAAACTTACTATGAATTACTTTCGTTAAGCTGGAATCTTTAATGTTAAAAAGACAAAATGTGAACCGGAATTACGTGCTAATTAGATGCTAATTTAACACTGCATTCCTCATCTTAGTGTTCGAGCAGTTTAGCAGGAATTCGCGTTTGAAAATGGAGATGCTAGCTTACCTCCATCTCCACTACTTGAGAAGACAACCGAAGCGAAAAGTTTAATGCATTGCAACCTGGTGCTTTTCAGCTGTTTTAGGAGTAACAGTTAGAATTGAGATTTATAAACCGGCTGCAATCATGCGCAGGTAGATCTCATCAAATTAAATAAAAAGGACTTGAGATATGATTTAAAGCAGACTCAGACATCTTAATAATAAAGAATTCGTATAAAAAATAGTATAGAACTTTTTTATTTAGTTCAATATATTCTGCTTGCACACGGCGAGTGTTCGTATTAACTTCTAACATGAGGTGAACGATCATGTGGCCGCAGCGACCACATGGCCGGAGCAACCACGCTCATCTACAGAGTGGGGATAGCGACAACGGTGGGCGATTAGCTGAAAACAATAGCTGTGGAACGCGTCACGCGTGTACAAAGAAGCTTAAACGAAAAAATGCAAAAGATACCCGCGTAAGGATTCGCTGCGGGCTTCCCCTTTTTGGCTGATGTGCTCTCGCTTTTCTCAGGTGAAAGGAGAACGCATTTCGCCGAGGAGAAAGAGAGCTAAGGAGAGGAACGGTGATGATAACAACGGGAGCGGGTTTACGTCATACGTTGATACGAGCCGACTGTCACCATGCGCAATCGTGATGGCGTATCATTGGACTGGATGCAATGAAATTACTCGTAGTGTCTCCGCAGCGCGCGCCCGTCTTGCTAGAGCTAGTGCTCAACTAGATTGGCGCCCATCGCGGCAAGTGTGTCGGAGGTCGGGTTTGGCTTGGTTTGCTTGAACACGGACGCAGGACACAGGTTAAATCGACTAATACGCGTCTTCGCGGCTCACGCACGACGCGTCGTCGTCCTCCTCCTCCGTGCCTTCCGCAGAAGGAGGAGGTAGAGGAGATGGTGGCGAACTCACGAGTGCACTTTCTTTTTCTAATTCGGCGCGCTGTGCTCACTGCGAGATTTATTCGCGTATCCACCCGGCATTCTACGCGATCTCGAACGCCGGCATAGCTGGATTACAATTAGGGTTGCCACACGGAGAAAAATAATTTTGCTCTTTTAGCAAAATCGTCGTTGCTACTGCATATTCGTTAATTTGCTATCGATACAAAATAATGTATCTTTAGCAAATTTATTTGCTATCGGAGCAAAACTGCAACTGCTTATATAAATCCCTCATAGTTCTTACAGCAAAATAATTTGTAGATTTAGCAAATTATATTTAACAAATAGTACTCTTAGCAAATCTTTTTGCTGTTCATATAATAACGAAAAAATTTTGCTAGACTAGCAAAAAATTTGCTGGACCAGCAAATTATTTTTCTCCGTGCAAATGTCTTCTTTTGAAGGATTGTCCTTCTTTATAGCCAAAAGTTTCATGTCTTGCATGGAGAAAAATAATTTTGCTCTTTTAGCAAAATCGTCATTGCTACTGTATATTCGTAGTAACATCAAAAAAATTTAGTTGACGTAACTAATTTTACAAATTACTCGTTATCAGAGCAGAAGTAGTTTCGTTGCCAAGATAAAAAATTTGTTGAGTGTATTTCTTCTAAGAATTACGTTAATTTGTTATCGATGCAAAATAATATATCCTTAGCAAATTTATTTGCTATCGGAGCAAAACTGTAACTGTTTATATAAATCCATCATAGTTCTTACAGCAAAATAATTTGTAGATTTAGCAAATTATATCTAACAAATAGTGATTACTACTCTTAGCAAATCTTTTTGCTGTCCATATAATAACGAAAGATATAATAACGAAAAGATTTTGCTAGACTAGCAGAAAATTTGCTGGGCTAGCAAATTATTTTTCTCCGTGTGTCAAGGACGCTATTGTTCTTCCCTATCGCATCGAAGGAGCTTTTCTTGTCTAAATTTTAACTGAAAATTGTTTAGAGTTCACAGATAAAATATAAAGGAACGTTGAGGTTCTGAAAGCTTGCAAAGTATATGCAATAATTTATGCTAATATATTTATATGTAGCCTATTTTTGCGCGCACTGTCATCAATAATATAAAAGTATTCCAGAACAACCTTTGAAGCTTTCGTAGAGACATAGGATGGAAAAATCCTTTACCTTTTTTGTAACAACTTGGTAGATCTTCAATTATTAATTAAACAACATTAATATATTATTACGAGCGACCAGTTATTAATTAAACATCATTAATATATTATTATGAGCGACCATCTGTCAATCTTCTTTAATTAGTAATTAAAAATTTACAAAGTTACTAGAAAAATAGTAAAGGACTTTTTTTGTTCAGTTTGACCTAATGTACAAGCCCTTATGTACACCTAATGTAGACTTAATGTACACCTAATTCACAAATTTTCTTTAATTAATATCTCGATAATTATTGCAAATATTGCAAAATGATATAAGACTTTTATGTTCATCGAAATCCGTACTCTGCCTCTACGAGAACTTCAAGGAGCTTGTTTTGGGACACCTTGTATACAGGGTGTTTCTTTACCTTCGCCCACGAAGAACATAGTGTTATCCCTTATGAAAAATTGAATCGAAAAGTCCTGAACTATTCTTGTCTTTGATGCTTAACAGAAGCAGATATTCTTTAATAAATTCCAGCAAATCCGCGCCGTTCTTTAGAAGTATACACGTCTGTGAGCTGCATACCTGATAATGTGTATGAATATTTCGCCGCTGCATTCACGCATACTACCAGGCGCGCAGCTCACAGACGTGTATACTTCTAAAGGACCGCGCGGATTTGCTGTTATTTATTAAAGAATATCTGCTTCGTTAAGTATCAAAGACAAAAATGATTTAAGACTTTTCGATTCAATTTTTCATAAGAAATAACGCTATGTGCTTCGTGGGCGGAGGTAAAGAAACACCCTGTATATATGTTAAAATACGCATGTTAAAATGTATAACATATGAAAATTGACGTTCGGAAAGGTATCGTAATAAACGCACTCTACCCGGCGATTTTTTTCTTTAGTCGTCCAAATTTTCGGACATCCTTCTTTACCAACTTACAAATATAGCAACTCTAGCCAAAGGCATCGTTGTGTCGGAGCGGAAATGTTGTTTGGAGGGTGTAATGTTGGCATTAAAGGTACACAAGCCGCCGCTTACGAATCTCGCGAACGCCTCGTAACTCGTGAACGCGAAAGAGTCTCTCCCACACGCGCGCTCTCTCTCTCTCGTTTCGCGAGGTGTGATGGGGACCGCTCTTGTCGACCGCGCCGCTGAGCGAAATTGCATTCCGATATATATATTGGTACTGATAATATTTGCTCGCAATTAACTCGCCGCAGCTGTAAGTAAAATGATTTCATTGTGCTGGAAATATTGCATCTTAAGTATTAATGATGTTTATGATAATTAACCACAGGCAGCCCCGGTATGTTAATTGCCCTCAAACATCATTAATGTTTAGAACAATGTACGAATCTCAACTGCAACTGGTTTATTTTACGCGGCCGTTTCGCGGCGTTCACAGCGAAAAAACCGCGATTTAATTTCTCGCTGTTTTCAACTCCGAGAACCGCGGCGGCTCGATAGGTTTCGCACGGAGACTTCCGTCGATATTTCGAGGCACGGAGCGAGCAACTCGTTCGCTCTCTCGTTCTCTCGTCAAGCGGCCCGTGACGCTGCATCTAGTTGATAAATTCATCGACAATGGCATCGCGCTCATCCATCGGGGTGCGTTGCTATCGATCGAGCCACCGTGCTTGACAACCATAATGCTTTCGCTCTCGTAAGTTTAATTATAGCCGTCGTTCGGACAACATTGCCTCGCTCGATTAAGCGTGTCGCAAGAATTATAGGCGTAAATGCGCCGCCACCGCGCCAGCCGTTCTCAAATCGCGCGACTGACCGCAAAGAATGAGAACAATAACAATAATAATCGAACCGACACCAATTCCAGTCCCCCTTCAGTCCCTAAGGTCCCTAAGGCTGTCGTTTTAAATAAAAACGCGCTTCTTAAGAACTCAAAGGTACTTTTTACTATATATCTTTTTCGTTGGGGTAATTCCTAAATTAGTCGTACATTTTTTATTACTCGGTTCTATCCGCGAGCATTCCCTTTGCCGAATCGTCGAGGACACGACCGGGGTGAAAATCAGCGGCAAAAAGTCGAGGCGATACCGCGAGGATTCTATCGCGGTCTGCGAGGGTCGGCGTCGGTAAAAAAGAGATCCGAAAGGCAGAGAGCGGACCGCTCGGACTCCTCGGAGGGCCAAGCCCTCCTCGACATATGTCGCGGTAAAAAATGGCCTCGGAAAAGGGACACCCGGGGCCACCGCAAGGGCCGGACGAGTAATAAAGTAATTTTATGAAGTGGTCGCCGACGTCCGCTCCCGTCGCGGGGGCTGGAACGGGTGAAAAATTGCCCGGGATGCTCTGTCCGGGGTGGCGCACGGGAATATTGTAACCGCCCTTTAAGTGAAAACATACTGTCTTCGTCGCGACCCGGCTCCAAAAAGGAGAAAGGAGAAAAGGAAGAGGAAAGAACAACGGCCGACCGGAAGGGGCAGTCGTGTGCGCCGAAAGGACTGCGCGATTTCGCGCAAATTCCTCCCGGGAACGCACAGGAGGCGGGGAGC